AATGGGCAATTTGTATTAAAATCATATACAGTCAAAACCTCTTATAGTGAAGTCTGTCTGGGTCGAATGGATCTCTATAAGACCAAAATATGTGTCTAATTAGTGTGCAAATTAAATGACTGCTCTTCATAATTCAAATACAATATAATATAGTACAGCACCGTTTATTAAGATATATCAAATGTATTGTGTTATAGTTCAAATTAGAATTTAGACTAAAACAGTTAGCCATAGCTTGGCGGGGATTTCAGTACATTTCTGAAGTTTAAACAGGCCTGAAAATAATGTGTAGGCTATACATGCCAAGAACAAAGATAAATATTAAATGCAACATGTTTCTCATATGTTGTAATGTATCAAACAAACCAACATTCTTGACTACTATAAGCAGGTTGTTTAAATAGCGTTTGTATAAGAATGATTTTGTGCCAAGCTTTTTGATCTATATAAACGATTAATCACCATAAGCGGTTTCTACTACATCAAGATTGACACTTTATTTCAGCGTCTTGGTCCATGGTAATGATAGAAAAGCAGAATGAAAGAAGTGAAAACAAACAGGAATTTGGAAACCAGTGTGATCAGCCTGTGCACCATAAACAGCTGGTGACAGCTGCTTCCACTCTCCAGATAATTTACAGTCAGGTATATTACCCGAACCTCCATGTGCTTATTGCATTAGTCAAGAAGCATATTTATGCATATTGCGGCTGGGGGAAATCATATACATTTGGTGGTCTGCCATGTCAAATCGCTGATTGACTTTACTTTATGGTGTGCTCAAGTGGAACCGCTAATGTTTCCCCCTGCCAGCCCCCTCCCACCGACCAAATAACATTTTAATGAGGCTTACCAGCCAGACCAGAGCAGGGCCACTCTTTACGTTAATTTTCAAAGTTTTTGGTCCACTGAGAAAAAAAAACCTAAACATAAATCAAGATCAGTGTTTAAAGTCGTGTGGGTGATGCTGTGCAGAGCAGGCTGGCAGTGTTTGGAACACGGAGCAGACACGGATATGGAGCACCAGACTCAGCTGAAGTCATGAAAGTAAATAATCAGCCGTCGACACTTCCTGGAGTAGGTATAAAGGCAATAATCTCACTTTAAAGTGATACTCCACCCAAGATCTAGTGTCAAACATGTATCCCCAAAGGCAGCTGGAAAGAGTTTTTGATTCCTTGAGTTTAAGTTCATGTCACTTACAATAAGTTCAAAGTGTGATACGTTCTAAAGAAACTGAAATCTCAATCTTCACTGTGCCCCCATGAGCTCAGTTTGATACAGATGTTTGCAAAAATACTGCTTCTGTGAACGTTATTCCCTTCCTGAAGTCAGGTTTGTGGCAGTGGCCATGTTATTGCTTACTTGAGCAATCAAAACCATCCGAACCAAAATATCTGCTTATAACAGAGCTATATGTCACAGAGATGTATTATGATAGGTTCAAGGCATTTTTGTCAGTAAAAATATAATTATGGCATATAAATGACACTTTCAAATGAACCACAGCATTCCCTAAAGGAGGAAACTACAAAAAGCTATATTTGAGACTTGCAAATGGTGAAAAAGGCAGAGTGTCACTTTAAGGTCGTCTTAAAACAACGCTGAGCCAGAATACTAACACAGGAACTGTTTTATTTATCCAAGAAAAAAATAAATCTAGGACATTTTAATAGCCAGGATTGCCAAACAGGGATTTGTCCCAACTAAATGCATCTAAACTGCATTGCTGAGAGGGAACAGCCCATAACAAGATGAGATTAATTGGTAATCTGATTAAATTCATTTGTTAAACCTGTGATCGGTGCAACACTTATCCGGGGGTCATGTGTTTCCACTGTGCTAAAAAGCTCCAAAATACAGATTTACCAAAGAAGTGTTGGGCTGCTTTACATTTAGCTGCAGTCTTCAATCAATTTATATTTGATCTGGAGAGCTGACTCTGAGGCAGAAGAGATGGATGCAGCAGAAATGGCGGATGATAATATGATGATGTTCACATGGTAATTTAATAAACCACACTGTATCTGCCTATCTTTTCGGGAGTGAGAGTCAGACCTGCACATATACCCTGGGTGGCGTGGGGAAGAGTGTTTGCGTGTGCAGAATGTGTTCCATGTTGATCATAAAGCCTGATGTTTCCATTTGATATCATCCAGATGCAACAAAATACAGCCACAAAAGAGAAGCAATGAAAATACCTCAAATCCAGCAAGATGTGACCTCTTCCTTCATCTATAATATAATATCCTCTGTTTATGGCTGTTGTCAGTTGGTGAAAAAGTAAATATGTAAGCAAAAATAAATTAATTTAAGGGTAAACTGGGTCTTAATTAGGGTGATTTGCTCCATGAGATAAAGGGGTACTTTCCCCTTCTGGTCTCTACATTTTTGCCATGGCAATTTAAGTTCCACCCCCAGTGGAGATTGCAATTGCACTACTTATTTACCGCAGCGTAATAATCTTAAAATGGGCACTAAAATGTAACTGTTTTCCAGTCATTTTGCCTCTAAACAACACTTTTAACATTGTTCTTGCACGTAATAATAGAAGTGGTTAAAACCAGAGTAATTTGAGGTATTAACATTCCATATCATTAAAGAGCTAACTAAATGATAAGCTACTGCTCGTTCCTGTGCCTGTCTCACAGTGGGAAATAGGAAGCTAAAAGAAAGAAAGTTGTAAAAGAAAACACGGTAAATATACTTAAAGGTCCCATGTCATGCTTTTCCGGTTATTACCCGTCCCCTTGTGTGTTATGAAGGTTTTTATGCATGTAAACGGTCTGCAGTCAAAAACCCTCAAAGTACACCCTGTAGGGAGTAAAACTCTAACACAGAAAATACCTTACAGACGACCCTGAGCTGCACCAACAGGCTGTAAATCAGATGGTCGAGTGGACTGATAGCAATGCTCTTGAGATCAACACCAAGAAAACTGAGGAAATCATTTTTGGCTCACCATCTGACTCCCATAAAGTCCCCATTGTCATCCATACAGATGAAATCAAGCAGGGAGTTTCATACAAATACTTGGGTGTAATGATTGACCATCTGCTGTCATGGAAGGATCACATTGAATATCTGTGCAAAAGGACAAAACAAAGAATTTATTTTCTCCGCCGTCTTAGGTCTTTTGGGGCGAGCAGTCAGCAGCTGTCAGCAGCTTTAAAATCAAAACTGCTCCACCTGTTAAAAATCTGCTCAAAGATTGTTGGTCAACCCTGTCAGAGACTCTATGACTCAGCCTATCATAACAACCTAGTGAGGCTGTCCAACAACATCATCTCTGACCCAAACCATGTTCTGAACAGTGAATATGAACTGCTACCATCTAATCGGAGATACAGGGTCCCACGATTCAATAAGGTCAGACTGAAGCACTCCTTTGTGCATCAGTCAATCCTCACAGTAAATACAGAGCTGAATCCCAGATCAAATGCACGCTGAAGGCTCTTTGAGCAGCTTTTCTCTCACTGATTGTGCTGTTATGTTAAATGTTTGTTTCATGTATTTTTGTCTGGATATTTGTCTGTTGATGTTAGACATGGAGCTGCTGTGACGCAAGTCAAATTTCAGACTTGATCTGACAAATAAAGTAATATCGTATCGTACCTCCCCAAAACGCCTCGTTGGAGATTTCTCATTTTCTTCCTGGGTACTGTGACGTGGGAATACCCAGAGGCCACACCCTCTGCCAGCCTTTCACGAAACAAAGCTTCCCAAACCTTTCAGCGACTCATGCCGGATATGTACAGCGTAGGGCACTGAAGAACGATGCTGTTCCTACTTTGTTTGGACCAGCGGGAGTTCGGGTACACAACCTGTAAGTATTCATTGTTGTTTGTGTATTTATGATGTTTAAAACAAACAAGGTATCTACCACGACTGTTTAAATGGGTAAACGTTTTTCGGGCTACTAAGTTGGGATCACGGAGAAATGCTCTCCGCAGACCCATGCTCACAGCGTTATAAACCTTTTTCTTACTCAATATCAAGCCACACTTATTGTTTTTACTTCGGCTGTGAGTGTTTGTGTGTGCTCAGGATGAGTTTCGCTTGTTCTCGCTGTATCGCCGAGAGGCTCGTTGCTGCGATCTGCTGCGAGGAGCAGACAGGCTTCCGCTCCTCGCAGCAGATCGCAGCAACGAGCCTCTCAACGTCCCGACCAATCAGAGCACACAGGGAGGGGGGGGCAGGAGCTCCAACAAGCCGTTTAGGACAGAGAGTGAATACCGGTGAATACACATACTTTACAGAGATGCTGTATGAGAAACCAATGTGAGTTTGGAAAATTGCACAATATAAATCTATTCTAGTATACCTCAACAATGGAATTATGATCAGTAGAAATGGCCATGACATGGGACCTTTAAGTGGTTTGGCTCGTTTAAGGAATGAATGTCATTAAAAAAACAAAAAACAGGTTGAGTGTAACAATATTCTGTCAATTAATAAACAATGCTTTTTAATTTGATTGATTTGATATCATTCTAAATTCTATTGCTATGTTATTTCTGACTTAATGTAAAACAAGCAATTCATTGATTATGCAAGAACATAATTGACAGCTTAACTGACCATGAAAATCATTGGCTGTAGCTAGGGCGGGACAATATGGAGATAATATCACAATATTTTTGGCCCAAAAAACTAATTTTCTAGACTATATGGTAGGGTTGACAATTTGCGCTTTCACAAAATAAATACATTTTTATACAATGTTAATTTCACACAGATGACTGAGCCCTTCCAAGCCCGCCGTTAATCCACAAATTCAGATGCTGTCGTGGCCTTAAAGAATTGGATGCACTCTTTTTAAATTGGAACCCTTCCGAGAACGTTTTCAATATCGTCCGTAATTGTTCCAATCCGTCCAATCTCCTCCATCACCACCAGTGTGTCCCATACTGAGCCCATTACTCCCGCTAACCCACCCATGCTCCGGAATAAACAAATAAGACACGTTTATAAAAAACACATGGATCCCAGCATTTCATATGCAGTCCCGTCTTAATGTCCTTCAGTTGTTTTTGTTTATTGTCATTAAAAAGCTTCCCAGTCACCGCCTCTCTTCCTCTGAGCACATCAGACACCCATTAAGTCCGCTGGCAAGCATGACAATCACAGAAGGAACAGAGGACAAGACATCAGATTAGCATTGTGGGATAGAAAAACAATAAGACCAAGCAACATGCTGAAGTACTAAAACACAAAGAGAGTCACCTTCATCCTCACTGGGAGGCCTGGGTTGTTAATAAAGCCAATACTAGAGCATAAAACACATGTGAGCGTGTGTGTGTGTGTGTGTTATTGGAGGTTGTGGAGGATGGACCTGAGGTTGATGCAGAGGAAGTTGTGTGTGTGGTCGGCTTTGTGATTGAGCTCTTGTATTTGGAGGTGGAGGGAGGACCGCTCAAACAGACGGCGGTTCTTCCTGGACAAAATCAAAGAAATACACAACAAGCCGTCAGTCCAAAGACAGTCAGTGAAAACATAGTCCCATGAGTCAGCAGGAGCGAAACAGATCTATTCAACGATTCAAAATTCTCAAAAACATCGATACATATCATCATCTTTAAAATACGCCTTTTTTTTCAAATGACTATTGATCATTTCCGCTCAAGAGCACCTAGTTCGTACACATTCAATGCTACAGGTGCTAGGCTAAATAGATCGAGCGCTCAGTGAGTATGAGGTAAGCGATTTCAAATATTTTAATGTAGAAATGCAGCATTTGTTCAATCTATTTGTCTGTGAATAAATGCTACAACTCCTTAAAACCCAACCTATTCCTGCGTCTTGCTGCTGATTCTAGTGAAGGGGGTGAGCCCAGATGTGAGGAAGAATTTTGGTCCCAGGCTCACTTAATGAGGGCTGACCTTGAAGGTTGACCAGCTTTTCACATTTAAGAGACAAGCTGCTCACCAGCTTTGACCAATAGCAAGACCTTCAACAAATGGAGGACTTTTCTTATTATTTTAGTGAAAAGAAAAGATTGTTTATCATTGTTATGTCTGAAAAAAACCCAGTAATAACAATGCCAGAGTCATACTTGAGTTGCTTTGAGTTGATATGTGTGCAACTGATTGGGTTAAATGGATGTCAAACACAGGAAGAGGAATCACTAGCGTTATTATTAGTACTCATCATAATTCAACCGTTATGGTCTGTACCGGATTATATGTCGATCCCATTGTTGAGATATTCAAATCTGGACCAAAGAGGTCAACGGACTTTCTTCATAGTTTATAAGAGCAACATTTCCATTGCTAGATTCATGATAACGATTTTTGGAAACGGTGAAGGTGTGGATTTATTATGACCACAACAAACTGAAAGATTGTGTTGACATAACAATCATGTGGTTTCACACGCTGGGGATTGTAACACTCACAAAGGGGCCACAAATGTGAGGGGTCATGAGATAATCAACAGGGTAGAACATTGAAAATAAAATAAAACATGGTGCAGAACTTTATGTTTTTTCTTTGCTTTTTTCTTGAAAGGTTCTGAAACTTGTAGCTTTTTAGGAATAACAAGAAAGATAGGGAACCATTGTTTTTATCTATGGCAAAGAGTAGAAAGTAAGGGAATATAGGTTCTATGTTCATAGGGGAGGTCACATCTATGACCCAGGTTATGTAGGTCAGATAAGGATCAGTCTATGTCGACACATAAAATAGAAATAAAACCTGCATTTAGTTCATCCTCCTCAGGAGTATGCAGGTATTTACTACCATGATCAGAGACAAGATGCCCATGTTCAGAGTGTGTTATCTACACTATGCAGATGAGTGTGTCTACCTGATGGTGGAGAGCTTCTGCAGAAGGACAGAGAGCTTCTCCAGCGTCGGGAGCTCCAGACGAGGGTTTTTGAGAAGCTGGGCGGCCGTTCGGAAAAACTCTTCACAGCTACACGCCTCAAGGAAGGGATTTAAGTAGCCTACAAGCACATAAAGAAGAAGCAAAGAAAGAAACCATCAAAACTATTTCTCTAACGAACAACACATTTACATTTTATGGTAAAACTTCTGAGAAGACGGAAATGATCAACTTCAGATTGACAAAGCAGCGAAAATACAGGGATGCCAAAGCAAACCATGAAAACACTTTTAACGATCGAGTGAGTTGGACAGGAACAGGGACACAGATGCTGGTGAGAGAGACTCTGTGATGACACACACGCACGCACACACGCACACACACACACACACACACACACACAGGGAGATGAAACAGTGAAAGGACAACAGCATCTATCCACACAGATGGGAGCTGCACATTTTTGAATAAAAGCAAATGTGGACCTCATGAAGGCCTACAATTTGTGGATTCCTGGTAAACAAACATTTGTTTCTGCTAAAGTCACATTCCTGCTGCTTTTCAAACTAACTCTCCACTGTAGTCCACCACGCACCGGGGTAAGAGAATACAATCTGAGCCACAGAGGGACTTTTTTTTAAGCTGGTACAGAAGTTCGGCTGGCATCAAATCACAGCGCAGGATTGGACGGAGAAGAATGGGATCAGGTTCAGATAAGGAAGGATAGGACGGATAGAATCTGATATGAAAGATGAGGCAGGAAAGGATAGTTTGGTCAGTTTCAGTTATAACATCCTTTCACCTCGTCTTGAACTGTTTCGTATTTATTTTGCATCATTAACTAAAACTTCCTGACTAGTGAATAGTTAGGGAAATATCTGCTAATAGTGTATTTGAATAATAACGTTCTTTTTAACAACTTTCTTTAATGTTTTAAAATCTTCCAGACCTGAGTGAGAATCTTTTCAAAACTCATGTGGTTATTGTCATATCGGTTTAATTATTTGTTTCATTAGCAGCGATATTGAATCTAACAAATGTTTGCAGCACCTTTGCTCATACTGCTTCCTCTGATGGCTCTTTATCTTATTATTGTGTGCTACATTCTACACTTATGTGGATACACAGATACAGATGGAGATGGACACACACTCACACATCAAAAACAGGCATATTACTCATGGTTGTTTAGGTTTACAGTATAGGGGGAAAATATGGGTAAACAGTCCTTGCCTAAAGTAGTTTAACAGGTCAGGGAGGGCTTTTTAACTGCAAAGCTATGAAAACAAATAAGAAACACTTCATTACTGTGGCCAGCGTGGAAAGAACACAAACACTCACCAAGCACATTCATATGTTTCCATGACAGCTAAATATACTGCATGCAGCAGTGTGGTAGTTAATGTACCCACTGTTTGCCAGACATCGTTCAGAGCCAGTAAACACCGTTTGTGAGATGTGTTGTGTAACTGCTATGTTTCTGAAGTGTATACAAGTTGTCAGTGTGACCACAGAAGTCCTGCATGTGTGTGTGTGCATGTGTTATGTGTACAACTTAACCTTTTTGTTTTGTTTTGTTTTATTGGCAACCTTCAGGTGCAAACCTTTCTCCCCCTCTGCCTCACCCTTTCCCCGTTTCTCCTCATTACTGCTTGTAAAATGCACTAATTAGCACGTTTTGCCAGACGTACAGCTCCTTAAAACACACAACTGTAGGTACACACACACACACGGCTCCGGCCAAAGTCACCTCCAGCATGTGGTTCTGCTGCGTATTACCGTAGCAACCCTAAATGATGCGGCTCATAACCCGGGCGAACCTCCTGCAGCTGTGCTCTCGTCTTTTGTCTTTCTATAAAAAAGGCCAGGAGGCGGTGGAGGTCTGAGGTTTATTGACAGCTTCTAAACCTTTTTTTTGCCTGACCAGCGATGATTGATGTGAGCTCAGACAAACCGTTACCTTTCACATGTGGTTTTTATATGGGGATGATATGGAGTCAATCTGAAGGAGGAGCTGGTATAAATCAAAGTTAATAGTCGTACAAAAAACTGTCTGTAAATCTCGGGGCTATAAGAGTGATCACAGCAGCTTTCGAGGCCACGTCAACTACAGGCCGTTTCCTAAGGAAGTGTACAAGTTCACACTCAGACATGTTTAAAGTATTTTAAAAATACTCCACTGTGATTATTTTTAATATGATGAGGTTTTAAATAGTAAAAACGGGCTGGAAGCACAGTATCCGATCTCTGAGAAATTCTGGAACTATCTTTTGGACCAATGCGCATCAAGATGGTTAGCCTAACAGGAAACATCGGAGAGATTTAGCCATACCTTAGACGCAATTGAGATGTCTGCTATGAATCAAAATTCTTCTCAAAGTCTTGAAGACGGAGATGTTAAAACTAAGCTACTGCTAAAAAGTCATTTCTGTACTGTCAAGTCTGCCCTGCACTGGAGGGTTTAGGTTTCTTTACCACTGTTGTGTGGATTTGTATCAACAATCGCATAGTAGGCAGTGATTTGCTTTGAATTTGAAACATCTACTTACGGGATTGTTCAGCCAGCTGCATGAGGATGTCTACAGGTGTGTGAATCCCTCCACGGCCGGCCCGGAGCATGGACAGCAGCACACACACGCCACCAGAGTGGAGGAAGAGGCCTCGGCTCTCCTCAGACATCAGCTCGGTGCGCAGACTGTCCAGAGCCTGGGCCAGCACATCAGCTGCAGACAGAGAGAGAGGAATATTTACTTACAGACACACTTAATTAGATCTTAAATTAGGTTTTTAGATCCTATCAACCTTATATTAACTGCTCGACTTTCAGCCGAAAAAGATGGTTGATGAATTGGCAAGTAATAGAGTGCTAAATTGAGAATACAAGCTAAATGATGTTATTTTTATATAAAAAACAGTTTAACAATGACTCTCTTTCGTTTCTCTTTTCCCGTCTCTTTTGACAGAAAGGGCATTTCTTGGCCCGAATGTAATGTGTGGTGAATAGCTAATAAACAACAGTATGAAGCCAAGCACAATGAGAGGACACCAGAATCAGAATCCCTTTATTCGTCCCACAGATGGGATTTTTGCATTTGTTACAGCAGGAAAAGAGCCAAAGACAGCTTAATATTACCCAAGAAGCATGCATTAAAAGATATTAAAGATCAAAAAGAAAAAGTAAAAAAAAGGGGTGTTATAGTCTGTGTTGTTATATGTGTGGGGGTCTACCAGGGACCATGATGTTTATATGGTCTGACCGCACCAGGAAAAAAACCACCAAGAGAGTTTGGGTAAAGGTCAGTCGGTGCTAACTGTGATGACATCATTCATTATAAATGAAAGTCTTGTCTAATAATCATTGCAACACTTTGAATCTTTGTTTTTTTGGCGTGTAGCTGCAACAGCACAATTATCTTCCATCTACCCTTTCACCATCTTATCCCTAATATCCAAGGCTCTTTCCTTTCTTTCTTACACTCCACCACTGTACATTTGCCTTAATGCTTGCCATCCTTCTACATTCACTTTTGGCGTCCAGAATCATTTTCGCCTGTCATCTTCAAATATACGATCTGTGATCACCTCATATACTTCTGAGGGTTTCTGAAGTTCTCCGAAAATGCTTTTCAAATGTCCGAAAGGGCTGGATTTATACAACCTCACATGGGATAAAAGCTTTGTCTATTTTATGCTGGGCTGATTTTGGTTAGCTCCATCTCAGAATGGTACCCATTATCTGTAAGATCCCATCAAATATGAAAGGGAAGAAACATCTCTCCATTAAACTTAATCTAGTTTCCTGTCAATCCACAGAAGAGGAGAAAGAGAACCTGGTGAGCAGACTGACAGAAAAGAGTCTCTTAAAAGACATACTGAAGACATACCCTTCAAGCATTACGAGCAGATGGAGGGTCAGTTCAGAAGTATTTCATCAAAATATCAGCGGGTATGTCGGCTGCACCCACTGAGGGCACTAAGATGTATAGTGTGGAAGGCAAGGGGGCAACATTTGGTAAATATAGTAGCGAGAAGCTTTGTGAGGTTCATGTTTTCAAGAAGACAAAAAAGCCGTAAGATAGACATGACAAAAGTTCCAAATATGGGAGTTTGATTACAATTCATCTTCTGGGGAGCATGAGTGTTTGTCCCAGTTTTGAAGACTCTTCCCATACTATGTTTTTCTTAAATTCAAAAATAACAATCTACCGGTGACACCTAGTCAATAGGATACATCCTCTGGAGACCTTGAGTATCTGTATCAAAATGTATTGCAATCCATCCAAAAGGAGTCAAGACAGTTATAGAAATATCCACTGGGAACAATGTATGCATGTCCAGGAAGTCATGGCTATCCATTCAATTGTTGTTGAGACAGCGGTGGACTGACAGAACTGGCTTGTGCGATTCAAAACATGTATTTGCCCAGATAACAGATGGTGAACACTGCAACAAGGTACACTTGCTCTGCACTTATACTGAAATATGTACTTCTGTTAGCTTTGATGGGAAGATTTTGATTAAAATGTGGAGTGAGATGTTTACACAGCCTGTGAAGTATGTGTAAGCAGCACTTACATGTCTAACACCCTGCTGTTTCTGTGCGTTCACACCTACACAGGTGGGTGTGAGCAGAGTGGGAAGTGATAATTAACAGCAGATTCACACACACGTTTTGTAGGTCGGATCATGTTTCTTTTATAACCTGCTTTTTTTATTAATCAAATCATTATTAATATAAAGAAAGTGTTAAGTGTTATCTTACTAAAGACAAATAATGAAAATAACTTATTTCACATTATTTTAAATGTCTTTATCCAGAATAAAGAAAACGTAGCATAGTGACAGAGAAGGAAAGCATATCATGTTTTTCCTTAACATCTCTTCTCTTTTTATGATTATTGAAATTGTACATATACAATTGAATGTATGAGATTGGGTATCTACATCATTACATACATTGATCACAGACACTATTAACGATTCATTTTTAAATACTTAATTCATTCAATATCATTTTCTATCACTTAAATTAAGTCTGTTATAACAGCAAATATAATTAAAACAGGTATAAGTTATTGGTTTCAACACAGCAATTAAGCATGCCCCTTAGAAATTCAGATCTCATCTTTGAAGCTAAAAAAGCGTCCTTCTCTTCCGAAAGATAGTAAATAATGGGGGGGGGGGGAATCATTTCAAACTAATAATATTAATTAACTAATAATATGTTTATATATAAACATCTTTAGGTCTTGGACAGTTCTGGGGATGTCACCTTGGGCTCTAGGAAATTGTCAAATTGACACAAAGCTCTATTCCTTTATGAAAATAAGCCATCGACATACTGTATGTATCTATAAAGATCATAATAGTAGCTCTACCTGATGCATTATTCTGACCCTATTTCCTGCATTATGTCCCTAAATAAACATTTGTTTGCATTTTAGCCTTAGATGTATTTTTGTGTTTGGTACCGTTACCTTGCGTGACGGTGCGGAGGATGATGAGGGTGGAGAGGATGCGTGTGTGAGGCTGGGGGCTGCGGTACAGAGGCCAGCTCCTGCAGGGGGGCCGCTCTGGATCTTCAGACTGAAGCACCGCTAACTGAGCCGGGGTCTTTGATACTTCCTCTCCTATCCGCCGCAGAGTGGCAGAGAGTGCTACATGCTGTGGAAACACACACACACAATGCATGACTGCGTCTGCACTCAGTTACTTTTGTTATATAAAATCATCTGCCAAGAGTGATTTTCATCCAACACCAGGCTTCTTCTCAGACTTCCCCAAAGAACTAATGGAGCCAATAAATCATCACAGTTACTATGCAAACTCTATGTATCTCCAAAACAGTGAACAGCTGGAAGTATCCACACACATCCCTTTCTGTCTTCCCTCTCCTCAAAGTGTCAAACAACTGTATAGGAATTCTAAGATTTTAAATATTCCATTAATGCATTTTGGCCCAATAGTGTTGGGTTTATGTCTTAAAGAGTGAACACATGTTGCAGCAATAAGGGAGCATGTGATTCCAGTTTAACATCAAGCATGTCACTGTACAGATATGACATGGTCTGACAAACAAACATGGGAGGGGGCTAAGCTCCCTGCTGAGGACTGAAGCTTGGAAGTCGGAAGCAGTGGGTAGAGTATTTGGGGGGGGGGGGCGGCTAAAGGATAATAGCCAGGTTTGGAAAGCTGGAAAATAATGCGCTGAAGGTAAGGGTTAACACAGGCTCATATTTAGCCTTCACAATAAGATAGTGGGAGGGGATAATAGAGCAGAATTGTCCGATCATGTCTCACCCCTTCAGCCACAAACGCCTACAGTATTTGTCATGGGGGTCTCTCGAGGGACTCATGGCCCTTATTACAGCCACACACAAAGGGACAGGCTGTTTTCCCTCATGTCTAGACTGTGTTGAACGCACAGAGACAGGCAGGGGACTTCAGATAACCACGCTCCTCATCTGAACACAAGATGAAACTCGACAGGACCTCCAAACATATGAGCCGGCGTGCTGTGAGGCGAGATGTGGTGATAGAGTGGATATCCCCTGCTTCAAGTGGACGTGTACCTCTGCTATGTGTAGTAATGTCTCTAGAAGGTCTGAAGGAAAACTGTGCGTTGTGTTTCTGCTGCGAGGATGTGGTGAAAGGGACCCAGCAGCTTTCTGTAGAATTACACTCTTCTCCTGCAAGGCCAAATGCCAAGAAACTAAGGAAAGGTGAAGGCCACAGGATGAATAGCCCGGATAATCTGTTTCTTTAAAGAATAAATTGGTTTTCTTTTCATGTTATGCTCCCTTTCGCTGTAGACTATTAGATTTTCTGGGAAACGGTTGATTTTTTTTTTTTTAAAGACAACCACCTACTGTAAATAATACGTAAAAATGTGTCTTTTTGTTGTTGCAACTATTTTACTATTAAATAACATGGAATAAAATAGCAGCACATATTCCAGTGTATGGGTTAAGGTGGTACTTGTTATCTAGCTAGGTCATATTTGAATAGGTGTCACAATTTTTACTATGTGTAAAATCCAGACATTCTTCAGTGAAATCTATAAAAACAATAAGCCAAAAAACTCCACATGTCCAATTATTATTATTGTTGTACTTTATATTCTTCAATCCTTTAACTTAGTTTTGCAGCAGGCAAGTTTACCGGAAAGATTGATCATATTTAATACTTACCTCAGTGTTTCCCCTAGGATGGAGTCATAGCAGCGGTGCTAAGGCACGCGGGCCCAGCAAAATGTGAGCGTGGAGCGCGTGGAATTTTTTTTGTGTGTGCGCGTGCGAAGTGCGCCCCGCCAATATGTTTCTATGTGTCTGCCAGCACAAGATAGGCTCTTGAGGCCTAGTACAGTACATACAGTGGCAATGTCTCAAGATTTAGCAAAATACACCTTTATTGAACATACAGTAACACAAATACTACAAATCCACATAACAAGCTATCAAAAAGGGTGCTAGGGGGCGCCACTTATTATTATAAGCTGCGGCGCCGCTATTTGTATATAGGGGAAACACTGTACCTGTGTGCTGCTGTCCATCTGTCTCAAAGCCCAGAGGATGACTCGAAGAAGGTTTAGAAGGAGGTCTGGTTCCGATGAAGGAGTGTGATGAAGCTGATCTGCTAATAATGGCAGCACCTAAGGAACCAAAGATGTGACGTTGACTGTGACAAAACATCTTTAATGTGTATTGTTGGTATAATGCTCTTTTGTGGTCAGGACATCAAAAATATGCAATACAGTTGTAATAAAGTTCAAAGACCACAGTAAAGCTACAGTGAACATTCCACCTTCAGGCATCTCCCGTTGAGTAGGATCTCTGGAGGCAGACAGTGGCCGAGACCCTTCTCTTTGTTTCCTGCTGCTGATGAGAGCGTCTGTTCATCAAGCACCCAGTCCAGGAGAAGGGTCTGGAGCTTTAGAGAGGTGGGACTAGAGCTGCCCTATGGGAATGAGTGTACAAAACAAGGTTCAATTATATTACTAAAGCAGAAACGTTGTCACCAAATTATGACTTTGGTTATAGTTGCTAATTTTATTAAACCAGGGTATATGCAGGAATCCAGAAGTCAAATGTAATACCTTTTAAGACCTTTTTTAAGACCCTTTCCATACATTTTAAGACCTCATCGCCGGTTACATTGGTGACACACTTTTGCTCACATTTACTATATACAGTATGGATTGTCCTTCCTCCTTATCTTCCAACCATTTGGACGCAAACTTGCATTTCCCCATAACGATGTTGTTTAACAACCGGCGTAAACGGAGCTTTGCGCGCTATCAAGCAGTGAGCGTGCGATGTCCTGTTTAGATGACGTCAAATCCAACGGGATGCCATAAATAAACTACACAGAATCACACTACACACCTACGCAATGATTACATTCAGGCACACTGTAGAATACAACCTCTTTGGACAATTTATATACTTATTGAAAACAAGCTACAAAATGTAATACCTTGGAAAATGCCGTTTAATACTTTTTAATAGCCTTCATTTTCCCTAAATTGATTTATCAACTTTTAATACTTTTTAAGACCCCGCGGAGACCCTGTAAACCTTTTTTTATCTGTCATATATGTCTTGATATGGATTCTACAAAATGTCATGCATGAAGTCACAATGAGCACAGAAGAAGTCAAGATTTAAGGAAACAGGACTAGAAAAATGTATCTATTTTAAGTTCAGCTACAGGTGTATCCAGAACAGTTATAAAATCACATCAAGACTGTGGTTCCACTGGGGAGTCTGAAGATGCTTATCAAAAGCTGAACAATGTTTTGTAATGAAATGAAAGATCATTTTCAAAATGATAAATGAAGCTGTATCGACAGAGCTCCAACCTCAACTGTATCCACTGACAATTCATCTTCATTAACAGCAGTTGTGTGATGATAACCACATTTTAAACTATGATTTATCATGTCAGCTGGCAGGGTGAGTGCAGCTTGTGGAAAAGGCAGTTGTACTGTTTCCAGTTTGTGTGTGATTTGTGTTTGTGTGTGTCTAATCATGCTGTTTGTTGAACTACCTTGTTGTTTGATTTTCCACAGGCAGCCGTTCTCTCCTTTTGGGATGGTTTAATCATCTTTGTGCTCACTTTCTGACAGCCTTTCAATGCAATGCTGTGCTCATATTTCCTCTGAAAAGAAAAAGATTATTATTGACCTTGAAACCATATGTATTTTTGAAATCTTTAAATGCAATTACATGTCCATGCTACAGGAAATAAATGCTTTCAATTAAGGGAGCACATGGTTAAGATCATCATGATACATTTAAAATGGTATGTTAGAAGTGCTTTCCAAAGAAAACAGTTTTGAAAAAATGTGTCAGTATTTTCTTACCTGTATGTTCTCAAGTCTAGCATGCACCCTCTTGGATTGGCTCTCCAACCTTTTATTCTGTTCAATGATCTCATTCAACTGTTGGGTTAAAGAAAAGTACATTTTGCAATGCAAGAACCAGTCTAGAAACCCATTTCTTAATTTGTTTCATAACAATGCCTACAAATCGGCTCACTTTTTGAGCCAGGAGGGCTTAATCCAAAGGAACAAAAGCACTTCAAGGTCCAAACTAACACTAATACCAAGAAAACAATGCAGATTGGCAGATTTTAAACCACTGTTGTATCATTCAAACTCTAAGAGGAGTTAGGTCATAGCGCCCTCGTGTGGTCTAAGGCACTAACTGTCGGGTATGAACCTCTGTTTCTTCAACTGTTATTAAAGGTGGGGTAGGTAAGTTTGAGAAACCGGCTCGAGATACACTTTTTGTTATATTCCATGGAATGCTCTTAACATCCCGATAGCAATGAATATCTTAAGTGCTTTGACAAAAAATCCATAAAAAAATGTCATCTGTGGAAGCCGTAATACTGTAAAAAGCACGACCAATCATTTTAGCCGGCCCGGCTAAAATAACTGGATGGCCTACCTGCCTGTCAGCCTTCCATCTGTGCACAAACTTATCTCGTGCCCTCATTGGTCATGTGCGCGTTTGTGTGTGTTGGAGGCGGGGCTCTATAAGGAAGTGGCAGATTTTCTCCGGTCGTGTATTTTCAAATTCTAGCGATCTCGAGCTGGTTTCTCCAAAATTACCTACCCCACCTTTAAGTAAAGATTTGACTGTTGGTGACATAATTAAGGAAAGAAATGGAAAATAGAGTAAAACATTGACTGGCTGTTGACAGATTATGCAGACTTTTGATATTTTTCTGAAAGCAAAACTTTTTTTAAAACATTTTCGACCATACTGATCAGAAAGCCTGCACATTTAAACAAAATGATAAAATCAAGACTCATCATCATAATACAATAATAATAATAATTCATTGCTTTTATTTTAGCGCTCTTCCAAGTGCTTAAAGCGCTTTACATTACATCATAATAAGCATCATGAGCTTTTAATCAAATGAAAAACTCTCAAAAATCTGTCGGTCCAAACATTTTACCATGAATTTGGTATTCATGGTAAACATTTCAGCCCCTGATGTCAATTTCTTTTCAGCATTAAATAGGCCTTTATGAAACCTTTATGTTTTCAACAAAAAACAAACAGACAATCAGGTCTAAATGTTTCACTTCTCACCTGTTTCCTCATGCTGTCGTTCAGCCCCTTGATGGAGTCGAAGCTGGCCTTGAGCCTCCTGTTCTCCTTGCTCCTCTCTCGGAGAGCTTCCTGCAGCTCGCTCAGCTCTTGCTGGTGTTTCTGTGTGACACATCCATACAAACCGTTTTCTTTATGCACAGTGCAACCAAAGCAACAATGCCTGACCTCATTAGTGAATCATTACATGGACTTGAGTGTGCTATTAAAAATCAATTATTGGTCAGTTGATTGCTTTTTCCTCTCATGTGATGCGCAACTCCTTACTAACCATGACAGAAATGATATAAGTTTAGTTTGATTTGCTTCATAAAAACGAAAGAGTCATAGATCCAGCCGGAATAATACATTTTAAGGCGAGGACAAGCTTGCTGTGGCTATCCACCTTCTAAGGCAGCTTTCCCCCTCTCACAGACAAACTCTCCTGGGCTTGTGTGTGTAGCGTATGAACATGGATGTGTGTAAGGGACCTGAGTTTTTTTTATCTAGCGCGCACGTTGTTTTGAGGTTTGTCTTTCTTTCAATAATAGATAGCAAGACAAATTAAATGATATTAAAATATAATGCAATGTTTTTTTTTGTCTTCTAATGTTTTTTGTTCTTTGTTTATTTTTTTATTTTATTTGTTATCTTTATCCGGTCATTGTGTCTTTGGATTAACTTAAAAATAGATACAAAAAGTGTATATGATTATATGACAATGATAATAACAATAATGATAATAATAATTATAAATACTATAAGAATTATAATGACTATTGTCATAATTATCTTAATTATCAGTTTACATCAAAATAGGATGAGAAATGAAACTGTCTTGTTATCTGAACATGGACTTGTAGGCATTTATTTTGTATTTGTTTTACTTTATTATTTTATTTTCACCCTGGAAATGGGTGACTGTATGTATGTATGTATATGTGTGCATATGTATGTGTATGTATATAAAGAATTCTGTTTATCTGTGTGAGTATTTAATTACGGAATTATCTTGTATTGACTTTATCCTGCAACAGGATGACTAATGGGAGGGCTACTTCTGTATAAGCTATGCTTTCTGCCCTCCCGCTTCTACTCATTGTGTTTGTTTTTAAGATGTATAAACTAAATTGTTGAAATAGTAGAATAAATAATAAAAATAAATAAATAAATATGGCCCAGCTGTAGGTGAAAGGAGATGGTGAAGAAACATATAACCCGTCCCTTGTGTTGAACGTGTGTGTTACTGACCTCCTCTACAGTTGGTGTGTTAGAGTGTAGCATCTCCTCCATCCTGACCAGCCTCCTCACAGTCTCCTCTTCCTGCTGACTCAGCCTCCTCTCCCTCTCCTGCAGCTCCCTCTCTCGCTCCTGCAGCTCCCTCTCCCACCTCTGCTGGCCTAGTCGCTCTGCCTGTATATAAACAAACACACATACAAACACTAATCTTACCATATGTATGTATATATCTCCTATACAAAGTTGCCAAATCCATCTAACCTTTGATCCTTGAAATCAAAACAACTCATTACAAAAAGAAAAATATAGAATCATGGGAAATTGCACAACAAATTCACAAAATGTCATGTAATATAACATTATCTGCAATTTAAGATGGTACACACTTCTGTACTGTAGGTATCTCTTTAAGACACACTAGGAAACGGTAAAGTCACATTTTCTGTGTTGTAGTTCTCCCATCCACATTTACTGATACACTGTCATTATAATGATTATGTTCTTCACCTTTAGTTGTTCATAGATGGTCATCATCTCCTGGTACACGTTTTCTAGCACTAAGGAAGAGGAACATCTCATGTCAGGAAGTCGGTGAATTCTCCGCAACTCCCCATCTTTCGCATTGTCCTGGGCTCCGGGGCTCTCATCCAGAGAGGAAGGCAGAGTCACATCTGGACAAATATAGAGGAATAATAGAGGTATGTCAAAGTCAATGTCATTATCGGGCCAAAAGGAGAAATCTGATTATTTTTCAGTAATATTAGGAAAGTAAGTGATTCATATTTGTAAGAACTCAGTAGTGAAGTACATGGACTAATCAGTGAGGCCAATTTTAGGATTCATTATCTTGCAAAGTCCTTCACTTTAAATCTGCAATCATATTAATGTGACTTCAAAATATTTTCCTGAGAACATGTTAACCCTGAATTTAATTCAGCAGCTGCTACTTTTAGTTTGCTATGAATAAAACACTGTTGACTGGCAAACTGCTGTGACACACGCACCTGTTTCTGTAAACAGAGCCTGGGAGTACTGAAGCGGGGAACCTGCAGAGACCCCCCTCAGGTCCTGATTACTGCCATGCAGACCACGATCACTGCCAAACCTTAGATACAAAATAGCAAAACGTTTTGATCAAGGCATAATACTAAAACTAAAATATGAGAGATGGTATTTGTAGGATTAATCTCTTTTGACTTACTGGTCAGAATTATTAGAAACTGCTTCGAACAGCTCATATAAAGCCTTGCTGTAGCTTTTCAATTCTTTGCTTGGCCGTTTGGTCAACATATTCTGCCGTACTGCCTCTGAAATAGTTAACATAAAGTAATGTTATGCATAATGGTTAATGTTTGGTAGGTATTATGAAGCAGATGTGGATCAAACAAACAAGTGTGATTTGAATTAGACACAGTTAAAACAAAGCCTATTATTGTTAAGATCAATGTACCTTCCAAAATCTCAATACACAGCAAAAGACAATATGGAATAGAGGGGTGGAGCAATAGTGAATACAGTCATATCCTCTCATCACTTCTATACTGCTACATTAGTGAATATAAATAACTTTATAATGTTAGAGCATTGCTATAACCAGATCAAGAACCTGTTGTTATCTGAGCATGTGGATGCTGTGTGAAGTGCTCTTACCTTCACTTCTTCCTATTGAAATGTCTTCTGGTGATGGAAACTAAAACAAATCAGGACAAAGACATGTTTAAGGGAAAGGAATCTGCGATTGACATTGCTAGCATGATGCCTATTCCAACATACAGATAGTTTATTGACCACATTCAACTTGTAAAAGTCTTCAGTGGCTCATTCAGGCGGGCATTCAACGTTCATCTGACGTCATGACAACAAGCGAGCACTGCAACAGGTTGGTTTAATTAAAATGTTACTAATTCATAAAAGAACTTCGTTTCAAACATATATAGACTAACTGAAGTTTTTAATACAGTAAACATATTTGAACGTTATTTGTTATAAGTTTGATATGAATATGTTGCTTATTTAGCGTTAGTAACGGTGGACATGTTTTTTCACAAGCTAACTATTTTAGCTCAGTTAGTGTTATTTAACGTGACACTACACAAGGATATTGGTCATGCTAGCTAATGCGTTGTTTAACTGCAAAGCATTTATACCTTGAAGTTTTCAAACGAGCTGAATGAGTGTGTGACTTAAAGTTGTTGTTAAACTCAAACCTGCTTCTTCCTCTCCAAATATTTCTGCTTAAGCTGCTCGACTGTATCAGCAACCTCGGTGTCTATAAACTGTAGGTTCATAGCTCCTGTGTGTAGCTACCATCGATAAACCAATGTGTACGTTTTTTCTTTTTTTGCCAAGAAAAGAAAGAATGTTGTCAAACGTCACAAAATGAAATCAACTTCCGGTTGTACCTTTCAAATCAAACCAGTGTAATGAAGCTGTATGGGCCTGTTTCTTGATGTAACTATTATTTTGAAATTCCAATTACCGAACTTCCGGTATTTCTCTACTAGACTCAGACGTTTACTTATTAACCATGATGGAAATACTACTAAGCCTTTCTCAATTCACAGTTTGCACTTCCTAGCCTACAGTGTCTTCTCAAGGTTTGAGATATTCCCTGAATTTTAAATAATTTCCTCCTATTACTTTGGTATAATAATAATAATAATAATACACTTTATTTATATAGCACCTTTCATGCTTGACGCAGCCCAAAGTGCTTTACTGAGTATGACAAATATATATGGAAATGTTATGTATTTGGATAAACCCCTTGAGATGCACCATCTCGTTTTCAAGGGGGTCCCGACAATAGCAACAACTTACAGACATACATAAACAAAAAGACAAAAAGCAAAACATGACAAAGACAAACCACGTACAGTCTGTTAAGTAAAATTCAAGTAATACATACAATCATTACAATTTGAGAGACAGTCGAGCAGATCAGTTTCATCAATATCAGTTTCATCAATAACAAGTGCAGACCAGTTGAAAGTGAGATGATAATGCATGTTTAAACATACCCAATGATGCAAGAGATCTAATAGCAGCAGGTAAAGTATTCCAGTCTGTTGGGGCTTTGAACATGAACGCTCTTCTGCCAATAGATTTTTTTGCAGAGGGGCAGAGAAATAAATCTGGACAGAGTGTCTAACTTGATGATTTGGCGAGTAGGGTACAAAATACTGCTTTAAATAAGGGGGATAGTTAAGATAAATGCATTTAAATATCAGCTGAAGCCAATGCGTGTGTCTTCTTACATTTAATGAAGGCCATTTAAGTTGGTTATACATTGTGCAGTGATGTGTACGAAAATGACAACCAAGAACAAATCTGCATAGTCTATTGTAGGCTATGTTGAGTGGAGCAAGATCTGATTTATGTGCATTTTGGTAGACAACATCACAATAGTCCATAATCGGAAGAATACGTTGAGAAGCAATTATCTTACGGACACTGAGCGTAAAACAATTGCGAGAGCGGTGTAAGACACCGATTCCGTAATTGACTTTTTGTATTACATGCTTTATATGTAGTTTAACTGAAAGTTCAGAGTCTAGCCATACACCAAGATATTTAAAGCTATCAACTTTATGCAGAGAAGTGCCATCCTTACATTTTATTACTAGATTTGAGCTTCTGCCTGGTACCAAAGACCATAGTATAAGATTTGGTTTTGTTGAGCAGTAGTTTATTGTGTGATAGCCAGTCCTGTAAGATATTAAAATCCGATTGAAGAGAGATCTGAATTTGTGAAAAGTCTGATTTGGATGTATATATGACAGTGTCATCAGCATAAAGGTGAGTACGACAATTAATGAGACAAGATAAATCATTTATGTTAATAGAAAACAGAAGTGGGCCCAGAGTTGATCCTTGGGGTACACCCTTTTGTTGGATCAACAGGTCAGACTGTTTTCCATTAACAACCACACATTGCTTTCTATTGTGAAGGTATGAGTTAAACCATAACACTGTATTATTAGAAAGGCCAATGCCGTGAAGTTTATCCAAGAGCAGATATCGATCAACAAAATCAAAGGCTTTTGTCAAGTCAATAAAAATTGCGCCTGTGAGTTCACCATCATCTGCAGCAGAGTACAAGTGTTGCGACCTGGCTCAAAAGGCCACAACAAAAAGGAGACACAACATGTCAACGGGTAGAAAAAGGTGTTTATTTGCACAAACAATCCAAATTAAGTACTGTGTATACTCATCAGAGCCGGGTGCCTGCAGGAGAAAACAGAGAGAGGAACAGAGAGGCTTTAAATAGCTGCAGGACACCAGACCCAGGTGCCCTGAGTTACTGCAATCAATGCAATCACTGGAGCCAAAGCAGCACAGACAGAACAGCCACACCCTCTCTACTGATGAACCCACAGGGGCATCACAACAAGTCATTCGAAAATGTAAGTAGGGCAGTTGTTGTGGAGTGATTAGGCCTGAAGCCAGATTGAACCGGAGATAAAATATTATAAGTATTGAGATAATGTGACAGTTGATTATAAATTATTTTCTCCAAAACTTTGGAAATAGAACAGATTATAGAGATTGGTCTATAATTATTTGTATCAAGTAAATCACCACCTTTATGGAGTGGAGTGATGCGTGCACATTTCCAAATAGTTGGCAACTCACAGGTGGACAAAGACAGGTTGAACCAATCAGCAAGTGGGTATGAGAATATGGGACGTTCATTTTATGAACCTGTTTTCTATACCATCGAGTCCTGCACTGCCATCCACTTTTAATTCTGTGATAGCATTATGAACTTCGTGTGGTAGAATCTTCTTAAAAGAAAAATAACTGTTGCAGTATGAATTACTATTAGAAATACCAGTCGACAAATAGGAGTCAGATAGTAGTGTGGAACATACATTAGCGAAATGCTGATTAAATATTTGGGCAATGGATAATGGGTCATGAATTATTGTATCAGCAGTTCTTATTTTATTAATAGAATGTTTACCTGATTTATTTAAAATTGCTTGGGATTCTTAAAGTCCGATGTGAGAGATTTTTTGTAGTAGTTGGATTTAGCATTTCGGGTTTTGGTTTTACTCAGATTTCGAAGATGCCTGTATACTTCCCAATCGGCTATAGTTCTTGAATGACGATATATCGACCATGCTTTATCCCTATCCCTAAAGAGACTGATGAGTTCAGAATTGATCCACTAAGGGCAACAACATCATTAATACATGAAATCAACATTCCATTTTTTATATTGTCTGATTTTGACTAGTTTTGGAGGCAGTTTAATTAATTAGATTTTCCATACGCAATAAACAATAATAAAAAAGAATCACAATAACAAATGAGGAACATATGTTACTTACTCTTATCCTCTTACAATGCAGCTTACATTTGCTAAGATATTTGTGTTAGGAATGTAGGTAGGACATGAGTAGGCAACTACATTTACAACATATAAATGTAGTATTATCTACTCCTTATATCTGCTTCTACTCATTGTGTTTGTTTTTAAGATGTATAAACTAAATTGTTGAAATAGTAGAATAAATAATAAAAATAAATAAATAAATATGGCCCAGCTGTAGGTGAAAGGAGATGGTGAAGAAACATATAACCCGTCCCTTGTGTTGAACGTGTGTGTTACTGACCTCCTCTACAGTTGGTGTGTTAGAGTGTAGCATCTCCTCCATCCTGACCAGCCTCCTCACAGTCTCCTCTTCCTGCTGACTCAGCCTCCTCTCCCTCTCCTGCAGCTCCCTCTCTCGCTCCTGCAGCTCCCTCTCCCACCTCTGCTGGCCTAGTCGCTCTGCCTGTATATAAACAAACACACATACAAACACTAATCTTACCATATGTATGTATATATCTCCTATACAAAGTTGCCAAATCCATCTAACCTTTGATCCTTGAAATCAAAACAACTCATTACAAAAAGAAAAATATAGAATCATGGGAAATTGCACAACAAATTCACAAAATGTCATGTAATATAACATTATCTGCAATGTAAGATAGTACACACTTCTGTACTGTAGGTATCTCTTTAAGACACACTAGGAAACGGTAAAGTCACATTTTCTGTGTTGTAGTTCTCCCATCCACATTTACTGATACACTGTCATTATAATGATTATGTTCTTCACCTTTAGTTGTTCATAGATGGTCATCATCTCCTGGTACACGTTTTCTAGCACTAAGGAAGAGGAACATCTCATGTCAGGAAGTCGGTGAATTCTCCGCAACTCCCCATCTTTCGCATTGTCCTGGGCTCCGGGGCTCTCATCCAGAGAGGAAGGCAGAGTCACATCTGGACAAATATAGAGGAATAATAGAGGTATGTCAAAGTCAATGTCATTATCGGGCCAAAAGGAGAAATCTGATTATTTTTCAGTAATATTAGGAAAGTAAGTGATTCATATTTGTAAGAACTCAGTAGTGAAGTACATGGACTAATCAGTGAGGCCAATTTTAGGATTCATTATCTTGCAAAGTCCTTCACTTTAAATCTGCAATCATATTAATGTGACTTCAAAAGATTTTCCTAAGAACATGTTAACCCTGAATTTAATTCAGCAGCTGCTACTTTTAGTTTGCTATGAATAAAACACTGTTGACTGGCAAACTGCTGTGACACACGCACCTGTTTCTGTAAACAGAGCCTGGGAGTACTGAAGCGGGGAACCTGCAGAGACCCCCCTCAGGTCCTGATTACTGCCATGCAGACCACGATCACTGCCAAACCTTAGATACAAAATAGCAAAACGTTTTGATCAAGGCATAATACTAAAACTAAAATATGAGAGATGGTATTTGTAGGATTAATCTCTTTTGACTTACTGGTCAGGATTATTAGAAACTGCTTCGAACAGCTCATATAAAGCCTTGCTGTAGCTTTTCAACTCTTTGCTTGGCCGTTTGGTCAACATATTCTGCCGTACTGCCTCTGAAATAGTTAACATAAAGTAATGTTATGCATGATGGTTAATGTTTGGTAGGTATTATGAAGCAGATGTGGATCAAACAAACAAGTGTGATTTGAATTAGACACAGTTAAAACAAAGCCTATTATTGTTAAGATCAATGTACCTTCCAAAATCTCAATACACAGCAAAAGACAATATGGAATAGAGGGGTGGAGCAATAGTGAATACAGTCATATCCTCTCATCACTTCTATACTGCTACATTAGTGAATATAAATAACTTTATAATGTTAGAGCATTGCTATAACCAGATCAAGAACCTGTTGTTATCTGAGCATGTGGATGCTGTGTGAAGTGCTCTTACCTTCACTTCTTCC